ATGTCCTCAGGTGAGGATTGAGAGAGAAAAGAAAAAAAGAAAGTGTTCTGTGATAGCCACACATTTTGGAGAAACATTCCCAAGCCAGGCGGATGTGGACGGGAATGAAAACAGGCAGTGTACACCACCGCAGCAAAAATGGTCGGTAAGATGGTATTGAACTTGGATCGCTCCCGGGGCTCAGAGACGGCCCGGCCGCTAATGATCTGGTATTGACAGTAGAGCCAGGAGAAATAGTCCTTCACAGGCCTGACAACCCATGGTTGGCCCCTTCAAGCTGCAGGAAGTCCCTCAGGCCTAGGGAGGTCCAGGTTTCGATTCTTGTGCTTGCTCTTCCAGGGAACGATCCCAGGTCACTTTTCCCTGAACTGCCGTTTCTTCGTCTCCTGGTTGGGTGTGTCTCCCTGCGGCTCAGGTGAGCACTGACTCTTTGGCGCCTCTCCAGATACTGAGCTGCGCACTGCGCTGGGCGCCTCAGAGCTTCCCAGGGTTCAGCGTTAGGCCTTGCCGGCTGTACTATTGCGAAAACTACAATTCTGCCAGGCTGATTCCAGCACTTCATTACTGACAAAAGGAAAACACTCCCACACAAACTTGTGTCCAATGGCACTGCTCCCAGCGACTCCTTCCAGCTCATTTTCTTTCTCTCGTGAATGTACAGTGGAAATTTCCAGAGGCCGTTTGACCTGTAATGATATCATCACTCTGCTAATATGTGTAAAATGCCTGCATGTGGATTTTCTATGGTAGCTGATTTAAGGATGAATATGTATACTTTTATAACTAATAAGAGTTTATAAAGATTAATAAAATGCTTCTTCTCAGTGTTTCTGTAATTTTATTGGCTATCCTTGGTCATACCTGTCAGGATAGCTATAACCTCATTCTCAAATACATGATTATCTTGATATTCTGAACTTTCCTTCAAGTTTATACAGAAACACAACAAAAAGTAAATACCCATCATTGCCTTGATTTGAAATAATATTTTGAAATTTTCTCAGTTTTAATACGTAATAGAAATGCCATTAGATGTCATTCACATAAGTGAAAGCTCTTTGGGGCCCCTGATAAAATGAAAGAGTATAAAAATGTCCCAAGATAAAAGAGTTTGAGAACTGCTGCCATAGGTAATGAAGGCATTAGGTGGAAAGAGGACCTCTGGCAGGTGATTTTATCCTTCCTGTCCAAACAGCATGCTTAGCAATTCTTTGGAACATCACTTAAGGTTCCATGCTTTGGTCGAAGTCTGCTATTGTCTATTTTATCCTAATTATTTAGAATCAACTGTATTCTTCTTTAGTCTTCTGCCGAAATTTTGTTCTCACTGATTCCTTTAGACAATGCTTTCCCCCCACCCCTGCCTTCCTCCCATCTCCTTCTCTTTGATTTTCATTTGCTCACCTTGTTCTATAATCTGTTCCAATCATAGATCCTTCTTCTCTCCCTCTTCAATTCTTTCATTGTTCTTAAGCAATTGGGATCAATAAGAGGCTAGAAATGATTTCTTATGGTTAATATCCTATAACAAAAAACATCATTAGAATACCCATTCTATTTATTCATTCCTTTGGCCAAACCACACCACTAAGACCTAAGGATAGAGATAATAGTCACAATTAGTTCCTGTTTTGGAGATGACTGTAATCTAAGATCTGTGTCTAAGAATGTGGGCCTATAAGGT